CCACAGTGTCACTGTGAGTCACAGTGCTCGTGCTGGCACTCTTCAGCTGGACTGGACTGAAGCTGAATTTCAAAAGGAAATCCAAGTTAGAAAACACAAATTGAACACATGTTAGAAAAAGGCAAACACATCCTACTCGTCAATACGTGTCAGCGTCACATCTCTAACTAGACTTGGCCAGTCCCTTGAGGACTGTGCTCAGTCCTCAGTCTCAGCCTATGTCATGGCGCGGGTCTTGGCCATCTTTCTTTGCTGGACGGCGCTTGACAGAGGTTCCATGATCAGGCTGAGACCTTTGGCGTTTCTTCTCCTTGGCCTTCACATTCTGTACAGTATCGGCCATATCTACGAGGAAACTTGAAAAACCTTCCAGGTCAGATTCAGGAGCGCCGCCAAACTTCCAGCCATGGGTGTTTCCACCCATGGCATCCCGCATGTGTGTCATGTAGTCCTTGTACTGCGGATGCTTCTTGGCTTCCTGGAGCGCCTTCTTCAACTGTGGTTTGGACAGCTTCCCCCACCTTGCTCTGAGTGTATCATAACCGCAATGAACCTGGATCATTGGGGAGGGGATTGAGGTGGAACATAAAACAAACACCTTTTTCAATACTCGGCCAGGGTGCTGCTGCGCAGTTGCAAAGGGAACTTCATTCTCTGCAAAGTCCCCCGGGCCAATTGCCCCGGCGCTGTCTGCAACAAAGCTACCAAAGGACTCCAAGTCTTCGCCAACCGACGCTTCACTTCCAAACTCCCACCCATCACCTAAATCATCTCCCATCACTGCAGTGACAAACTCCACATAGTCATCGAACATGATGTGTCCCTTTGCTCTCGCAACTGCTTGGGCTAGTTCCCAAGCATTGAGCATCATCCACCTTGCTGGCAGAGCCGACAGGCTCGCGCTATACTCGCTATACTGCTGTACTTGTTCTACTGTACTACTGTGTGCTCTGCCTGAGAAAACACAAAGGCCCGACATACAAAAACAAACAGGTTGCTGGTTTTCTGGTCCACGCCGCTCTTCTTTGGTCTTCTTGAAAAAGTGAGCGGCAAAAGGACCATCTGGCGCACTGCCTTTTGCTGCTGCTGCTGCTGCTGCTGAAGCTTTTGCTTTCGGTGCATTTGCTGGCCTTGCGCTGGCCTTAGCCTTGGCCTTGCCCGTTGGTAGCAGAGCCGCTGCTGCTTTGGGTGATGGTTCATGCAGCGCTAGGACTTTTGCAGGTGTTGCACCGGCTTTGGCTGGAGCAGCCGCTGCTGGTTTTGCAGGTGGTGCATTCGCACTATTTGCACCTGCTGGAGCTTTTGCCGCCGATGTTGCGCTGGTGTTGGTTGGTGCTTTTGCTTGTAGTTCACCTGCTGCTAGGGCTTCTGGGGC